CTAGCTTTTCTATATAAGCTTTGAAACCCTTTCCAATCTCCTGTATTAAGAGTTTATTGATAGCTTGATCTGGCTTAGAGTTGCAGTCTGCCTCCTCAATCTTTTGCGTTGTAATTTTATCAATAGTTTGAGTTAACATGCTCTTGTGATCTTGCATTGTTGTCATTTTATATACCGCATAGAATATGTAATGAAAAAATTAATCGCGCAAAACCTATATCCGTCGTGCTATATACATGTTATCGGGTCGCGTTATTACGAGTTTGACGATCCGATTGTAATTTGTGCGTCAGCCAGAGTATATACACGGTATTGGGAAATAATATAGGTTATGCTATCGATTAATGCTACCAAATATGTATGCTAAGTATATTGCGTAAATGCTATCGATAATGCTATCAGGCTATGCTATCAAAAAATGTTAACGAGTACGTTATATTAAAGTATACCGATTTTGATTGCCATAATTTTTGATACCAGAAATATGTCCTGAGAACATACGTAGTAAAAAAGTGGTTAAATATATAGGAAGGCAGGTATATAACTCCCATAATTATTATATAATATTACCGAAGTTATACACCCCGAAAACATATATCGAAACGGGTATATAACTCCCATTTTTCTCTCTACATAGTAGAGTTACTGAACTTATATACTCCGAGCACATACTATTAACTGGGTATATAACTTCCATAATTCTTATAATATATTACCGAACTTATATACCCAAAGTATTCACTAATCGAGATCGCAATACTCTTCATTCATCTCACTAAAACTTGATGCATTTTTTTTTGATATCTCTGTGTACCGACTGAAAAAATAATTTAAACTTTTTCAAACTATATTGTAATAATATAATCGAACAAAGATTGATTCATAACATATAAAAAACCAAATACCAAAAATGGGTGAACAAAGCGCACAACTCGAGCGGTACGGGGGCGGGGAAACTTTAGCCGGAATCCCAACTCGCAATGATATTATTTCGGAATGTGATAATGGGTTAACTGCTATACTCCAACAAAATTTATCCGATAAAAAACCTATACACTTCATGCCCAATGATGTAAGTGATGCCACTGAATATATAAATAGGGTATCTACATATATTCTACGTATTTACGGCACTTTGATTAATGGGCAAAAGGCTAGAGTAGATATTACAGGTATCAAACCTTTCTTCGATGTTGTCGTCCCAGATGGAGAACCACTAGCTATATTTAAAAATAGTTTAGTTAAAATCGTGTCTACAACTCTCAAAGGCATATCGATGCTTTCCCAGTTCGCGGTTACCATACAGAAAAGAAACCATACATTCGTATAACAACATGGAATCAATATGATCGATATAATGCGTTGAAAACAGTTTGTGAGTCTGGCTTAGAAACTGCATCTGATGATCTAAATTGTAAGTATTATTATCGAAAAATAGCCCGTGAAAAAAGACTGCCTCTTTCTAGTTGGGCGACATTATATGATTATATACATGATAAAAACTTATTTCGAGTACCTGTAGATGATTATAAACCAATCGATGAGAATGAATAAAAAAACCAATTAATTGCTCAAGCTTTATTCCGAGATAAAACACTTGTTCTTACATGGGATATAGAAACACATAGTAGCCGTGGAATGGGAGATTTACCTATAGCGAAAAATGAAGAGGATCGAGTTTTTATGATTTGTATGACTATACATTGGAAAGATGATCCTGGAGACGAAACCAGATCCTAGGTGGATCACAGTGATATGTGAAAATCAAACCAATTTGCTTAAGGCATTTGCATTATGTTGGGAATATTTAGCTCCCGATATACAGATAGGTTTTAATGACTCGCAATATGATTGGCCTTTTGTCGTAGAAAAAGCTAAGAATTTAGGAATTCTTGAATGGATGTTTAATCATATGTCCCTGGAGCCATTAAGCATTGAAAAAATTACGAAATGGCAATATCAATATAATGTGATAAAAATAAACGATGCAAACTTCCATTCGAAACATCTCAAAATCCCTGGGTGTGTGGCTATTGACGTCCGCCCCTGTTTTAAGAAATTATATTCTAAAGCTGAGAAAAGTAGTCTTAAGTTTTATCTGGAAGAGTGTAAACTCGACAAAAAAGTAGATTTACCTATTCACCGTATAAATAAATATTATGAAAAAGCGTTAAAAGAAATAAATAATACAACGGCTGAGCAGATGCGTGAAGTGGCTGAATACTGCATTAACGATGCTCTTAGCTGTCAGCGGTTAATGGTCAAGCATAATGTAATCAATGAATATAAAGAGAAAGTTTCTATATCATTTCTATCTTTATTTGATGCACATTATTTTGCTGATGGAATGAAGGTAAAAAACCTTTTAGCTAGTCGTGCATGGGGACTAGGGATTCTAAATACCATGATTCCACAAAAGCAAACAGAAAGTGGTAAATATCCTGGGGCATATGTATTTCCACCAGAAAAGGGACTTGAAAATAAACGCCCTGTAACCGGTCTTGATTACGCATCACTATATCCAAGTCTTATTATGACATATAACCTCTCTCCTGATAAAATAATTTTATCCCGTGACCATGCAATATCTGTAGCACGTAGTGGGAAGAAGCTCCATAGGATTGAATTCAAGTTTAATGGTCGTGATATTATTGCATGGTCAGTAAAACATGAAAATCAATCAGAAATGGAAGGACTTTATGTAATAGTATTGAAAGAACTACTTACGAAGCGGAATAAGATGAAGAAATGTCTTGCTCCATTAAGTGAAAAAAAAGAAAATATGGAATTAATATTGAGTAATATAGAAGGAAAGCAAACGATACTGGAGGCTATTGAATATATCTTGGAAAATGCAGAAGAGAAAAATCGTGATAAACTTACTAAAAAATTACATCCTTTTATTAATAAAAATAACCACGAATTTATGGTAGAATGTCGGACTAGCTTACACCTGGGAGAGCGACGGTGTACTAGCCGTTTTGGGATTTAGTTCGTTTCCAACGGAAGCTTTTGCTCTTCCTACTTAAAACTAAATACGTACAATTAGTGACCTTTAAACTCAGGCTTTCAATACTCACGATGTATA